TGACTTCACCAGCTAAGCAGTGTTTAGTAAATGTACATATTTCATTGTAACTCCCATTACAATGGCAACATTATAATTAAAACAAGCAAAATGAAAGAGTTGGCATTGTATCATGACCATCTGTGAATTCTGTGTGCTGGTACTCGGTGTTCAGAGGTCAACTGGAATTTTGAACTGTCTCTTGTTTTTGCTATGAGAATAAAAGGTAAAATTCTTCTGTTATGCCTGCTTGTTATATGTGTCCCTCTAAACATAAAGGTTAGAAATAGTGACGCCCAGTCATTTGAAATGCTGTCATCATGCCACACTCACGAATGTTTACTTTACCCTGAGAAATTATAGAACATGATCTGACTTAGTTTGCTCAAGCCATATTTTAACATAAATATTATGGAAACAAAAGTGATACTTCCTTTTAGACATCAATTATTGGCCACATGACCAGAAAGATAGAATTTCATAACTGTAGCCCAAGTTGATAGCATTTTAGGAACATGCATAATAGTTAATATGTTAGAACAAATAAAGTCATATTTATCATTTTGAACCACATGAAATTGCTAATTTGGGGAGGCTAAGATGTGGTCAAATTTTGGTGATTTGTTTGGTTCCACTTACATATATATCAACTTCATATGTTAGGAGAGTTTTTAGTGTAAGTAAAATGAAACTGTATGATAGTTAATGCTAACTGAGTTAGACCTCTATGGATAATCCATACAGAATGCCAATTCTCTCTTGACTAAATGCCTGCTTTCAGCTACTTGGTTGTGCAAAGCATCAATTGTAATGTGGTTATGACCAGAAGAAGGAAAGCAATGTTAACTCATTAGTTACTTAAAATAGCAGCTCAGCATTTTAAAACTCCAGAAGTCAAGCAAGAGTGGTTAGAATACATTTAGGGGATTATCTGGGCATACCTCTGCAGCTACACTGTCTTAATCACCAAGTATATTGATCACTGTGTATACAAGATATTTGAGTAGACAATAAATAGTGTTTCCCAGTAAGATCAAGATAATATCAAATATCAAATTTCTGAGAATTTTTTTTTTTTTTTTGCTGAAGGGAGAAACAGTGACTTACTGCAGGGTGAGTCCTTGCTTAAAAGTAGTAGGTGTGAAGGGGTGAGTTCTCATTAGCTCAGTCAGTGGCAGCCTATGGGGCACTATCAAGTACCATAACCCTTCTGGAAACATTCTGTCTGTTCACATTACCGACAAGTCTTAGTGCCCATATGACTGTAATTCACACTTCTGTAACCATAACTCTGGTATCTTAGGAGACCACCCCACAGTTTTGGAATCATTGGATTAGAAACATTGCTAACCATTCTGAATCTTGCATTCCAATATCTATTCATCTCCAAGGGATTAGCATGAATTGAAAAAATGCAAACAAACTGGAAATTTGAAAACACGAAAGTGAAGAGACTTAACTGCATGAGCTGGTAATTATGTATGAGTACTTTCCACTTGATGGGTGGCCAGAAAACAGTGGCTTGATCAACCAGTATGCACTGCTGGTGCCAGCTGCAGCCTGAAAGGAAATAATCCAGATAATTGCTTGATTGGCTGCTATTTAAATAGAGAAGCTCGAACTCCCAAGAATCTCACTCCAGAGTAAACAGCTTTTCAATCTGATTGGTTCAATAAAAAAATCCAAAGATGATGTGTTGATGGTGGCCACCCATGTCCTCCCATTCTAACTGCCTTAAAAATACTACTTGTAATCGTTCCCTGTCCATCCTTGTGAGTCTCCATCACTTTTGCTCTTCAGTGTTAAGTGCTTCTACAACACAAGCTTCCAATATTACCCCCATAATGAAAAAGGAAAATAAAGGATGGGGATATTCGGGAGCATCCTCTGTATAATAGTCATAACACAGATGGCCATGAGTCCTTTATGATCTGATGACCTTTTATCATTTATATCTTACATTTATCTAACTGTGTAAAGCTCTCACAACAGGACCTGACACATTTTAAATGGCATAAAAGTGTAATAATAATTTATTGTTTTTACTCTCATTCATAGCCATTTCACATGGAATAATTTGCTTTTGCATAACCTCACTGAGTCATGGCTCTCTGAAATTGGTGGGATTTTTTAAAGATTTATTTATTTAGTTATGCATACAGAACTGGGGTACAGGCCAGAAGTGCAGGGACAGTGAGAGTACTCATCAGAGACAGAGTGGGGAGCAGGACAGATCAACAAAGTACACATGCTAAGGGGAGAAGCCAGCTAGACAGGAGAGGTCTGCCCTGCCATGTGGTTCACCGAGGTGGGGGGGAGGGAGGGCAGGAATTGAACTCATAATGAAGATCCCTGGTGCCACTTGTGGCGGGGGGGGGGTCGGAGGGGCCAGCTTGCAGTGTTGTGTCTTAATCCCTGGTGCCACAGGGCCCGGGGAGGGGGTGGTCCTTAAGTTGGTAGTTTTGACTTGTTTTTTGAATATATTTAGTGGCTCTGAAAAATAAACCACATCAATATGTTTGTGTCTGTTGTGTTTAATTAAGGCATTGGATATAATTTTTGAGGTGGAATAGCCAACATTTTGGTCTCTGTTTTCCTTTCCTTTTCTCCATACTCTTGAAAGTTAGGTTGTAGGGCTTCTTCACTGAACTGTATGCATTCATATTTAAGGATTGCCATTTTTATTCTTTCTTTCACATTAAATATGAAGTAGCAGGCCAAATACTTAATGTAATTTCATTGATGAGTAAAAAACATTATCGGAAATTTTTCTGAAGATCTGTAGCTATCCTCTTTGTGAAAACATAAATATGTAATAAAATCAGGAAACTGTCCATGGAAAATTTTCAGAAAGGATATTATGTATTAGGTAAATGAATTATATCAAATAAATCAGCCTTAAAAGTGAGTTGGTACAGATTTAGTCTTAGGAAACTCTCAGACAACAGATGTTATGATAAATTCTAATTACTAAGAAGATTTAATGATTACTTTCCATGATGCTATGTACCTTGACATCATTAGCATAAATAGGAAGAACTTCTCTATAAATCTTGTAATAAATGGGATTTCTGATGCTCATCCCTTATTCCAAACTCCCAGCTTTTGACACATAAATGTGTCTCTGAGTATTTAATTTTACCTAACAGTTTACATATGTAGACATTAGAATATAGCTTCCTATACAATCAACTCCCTGCAAAAGGAGGTTCCACTTGGAATGTCAGGCAACATGCCAGGGGGATATTAGTGACACTAGTCTGTTGGCCTCAGGCTGTGATCTGTACAGTGGACACTGACCACAGCTGGCAATTTGGTGGAATAATCTTGCTTATTTCACACTGACCCTGTAGTGGTGCGTAACAGGGAGGTGGAATGTTTGTGAAGGAGAGAAGGCAAAGCTAGAGAACTTTGAGGGGATTGAGATCCCAACTATGGACCCACCAACATATCTACTCTGGGAATCCTCTGGAAGTGTGTATGTTGCAGCATCCTGTGGAACATATATTTGAAAAGCTGAGTGATGTGAGAAAATACCCTTGGTACCAAAAGGAGCTGTGTGTTCATATGCATTTGTGCATATATAGCTCCTTTTTTTTTTTTTTTTTT